GGAAATCAATTATACATATTGATATATATAATTGATATATATATATATATAAGTGATTTCAGAGAAGAAGGGAGAGGAAGAGGGAGATAGAAACATCAGTGATGAGAGAGAATCATTGATCGGCTGCCTCCTTCCCCACCTCCTTACTGGGTGGGGGTCAAGCCTGCAACCCAGGCATGTGCCCTGACTGGGAACCAAACTGTGACATATTATTACTTCTAAGCCTCCGTGTCTTCATTAGGAAGGAAGGGGTATTTCTGTACATCTTAGAAGTTATTGTGAGTATAATAAGTCAGATTACTTCATCCAGCCCAGACCTGAGCTCCAAATTCTGATCTCAAGTGCCTGTTTGAACTCCTAATCTTTTCTTCTAGAACTGCTCTTTCCTATCTTAGTTGATAGCAACACTACTTGCTCAGCCAACTGACAAGACAGTTGTTCTCGTCTCCTCTCTCTTTCTTCAACTTCATACTCAGTCTGTCAGGGTATCTGTTCATTGTACTAGTATTAGTATCTTCAGAATATATCTGAAATCCAACCACTTCTCACCACTGCCTTTCTGGTTCCAGCCATCATCATCATTAATTCTCTCACCTGGATTATTAAAATAGGCACCTAACTGGCCTCCTTGATTTTGCCTTTGCCCTCCTAGTCTATTCTTATTCCTCTACTCACCTCGAAGGTCCCCTGTCTCAGAGTAAAAGCCAAAGTCTCCACAATACACTTTTCTCCTTTATTGCCTCTCTGGCTTCATCTCCTCCTACTTTCCTCCCTATTGAGTTTTCTTCAACCACACTGGCCTCCTTGCTGTTTCTTTTTATTTTTTATAATTATTCTTGATAGATTTTTTTAGAGAGAAGAGAAAGGAGAGAGAAACATCCGTTTGTTGTTCCACCTATTTATGCACTCATTGGTTGATTCTTGTATGTGCCCTGACCAGGGATCCAACCTGTAGGTTGTAAATAAACAACAGGTTTCTTTACATCTTTACTGTAAGCTTTGACATTTTGAATGTAAGTTTTAACTCATGTTGATTTCCAGTATGTAAATTTTTTTCAGCTGGTTATTGTTACCTTTTTAAAATTACCTTTTAAGCAGTAGGGAAAACTTTTCTTAGAATTTTGAATTGATACTTGAAAATTAGTTAATGTGCTATGCCTTCCCCTTCCCGTTAATAGATGTGTGGTGGTCCTGGGATGCCCGACACAAGAGCAGGAGGTGATGCTACTGACTCGAGCCAAACAGCCCTTGACAATAAAGCCTCATTACTCCATTCCATGCCTGCTCACTCCTCTCCGCGCTCCCGAGATTATAATCCGTACAACTATTCAGACAGCATCAGTCCCTTTAACAAGTCTGCTCTCAAGGAAGCTATGTTTGATGATGATGCCGACCAGTTTCCTGATGGTATGTATGCTCTGTGTCATACTGTTACTGCCTGTGTTTTGGAGGCCTGATCATCAACGAAGCAAAAGCTGCTCTTTTTTGGTATCCTAAGAAGTAGGGATCTTTGCAATGGTCAAGTTTTCTCCCATCCTCTAGGAGCTCATTTCTTTCCTTTTTTTAAAATATATTTTATTGATATTTTACAGAGAGGAAGGGAGAGAGAGGAATAGAGAATTAGAAACATTGATGAGAGAGAAACATCGATCAACTGCCTCCTGTATGCCCCCTACTGGGGATGTGCCCGCAACCAAGGCACATGCCCTTGACCAGAATCAAACCTGGGACTCTCAGTCTGCAGGCTGACACTCTATCCACTGAGCCAAACCAGTTTGGGCTAAGAGCTCATTTCTAATGGTTTGATAGATATCTTCCCAAGAATTGGAAACAGTGATCATCTTAAGATCATCCTTGAAATGAAGAAAACCTTAATGGCCTCCCAAAAATAACTGAAACCAATGGTTGCTTATAAATTTATCTTTAGATACCATTTCAGTCATTAATTTTTATACCAGAATGACAAAACTCTGAAGGAATACCCATTCTTTTTTTTTTTTTCTTTGTTGTTAATCCTCGCCTGAGGTGGTTTTTCCATTGATTTTTAGGGAGAGTGGAAGAGAGAGGGAAAGATACAAAGAAACATCGATGGCAGTTGGTTGCCTCCTGCATAAGCCTCGACCAGGGTCCAGACTGGGGAGGAACCTGCAACCAAGATACGTGCCCTTGACTGGAATTGAATCCGGGACCCTTTGGTCAATAGACCTATGCTCTATCCACTGAGCCAAACTGGTTGGGCGGAATACCCATTCTTAACAATAACCTATTAAGTGTGAAGCCATAAACATATGCTTTAATAAGATATATCCAAGAAACAAATATGGGAAAAGCTACCATTAAGATTTGGAGTCAGGTTGAGATGGCCCCGGTGAGTTTGAAATGACCCTGGTGGGGTTGAGACGGCCCTTGTGGGGTAAATACTTTAAGAAATAAAACAAAATTAAAAAAACAAAGATTTGGAGTCAGCTTTTAGGTCTATAGGTCTAAGCTCTAATGCTTACAGTGGGCTTAAGTCTAAGCTCAACATTACTAAGCTGCAAAGCTTGAAAAATTGGTTGACCTCCTTGAGTCTCACTTGTCACTTTTAAAAGAGGATGGAGATATTGTACCACCTGCCCTTCTGATAACAGTATGCAGTAAGGTCCAGGGAAAAATGTATAAAAACTGATTAAAAAGTACAAAACACTGCAGATATTTTATTTTTAATAATAATTATTTTTCTCTAACAAATGATATGATCCATGATCCATTAATTTTTTTATTTTTTTATGAAGACTCAATGTGAGTATCTTCCTTATTCTGCTTAGGAATCTGTATCTCCAGTGCTGGTCATTTGTAATTTTTATAAATGGAAAAATATATTTTATGACATAGAAGAATCATATTTTTATTAACTTCTCATGTTAAGAGAATTAATATAGCACAAATATCACAAAGTCAAAATTATGATAATATAGCAGGATCACCCCCTTATTGTCTAATGTTCTCCTTTACCAAGTATTTTATATTTTCCATTTGTTAAAGGAAGGCATCTTTGGAAGTTATATAACTGAAACCTAAACAGGGTAGAATGTTTTTGAGCTTGAGAATATAATTTTTTCACTGCATAATACTTCTTGATAGACTGCTGAAACATAGGTAGCCATTTTTGGTTATGTAATCATTCTTTAAAGATAGATGAGCCCTCAGTTAACCACATAGTTGTTGCTCCAAGCTTCATATACTAGTTATTTTCATTGTCTATTTTTACTTTTAATTTTGAGATGGAGAAGCCTTGTTTGCCATTATTTTATTGTGAACATTGCTGATAGTATCTTTTTAAAAAAATTTTATTGACTTTTGTTGCTGTTTTGATTTTCCTTTCAGCCACCATACCCCACCCCCAATATGAAAAATATCTTCTCTTTTTTATTTTAAAACCTAAAACTTTTGGGAGAAGATAATTATTTTGTTCAAGTCAGAAGTTCCATAAAGGAAATTGTTTTAAAATTCTGAGACTAAGTATGTCTCACTCAGATGTCTCTGTACATATTTACAGACAGATACATTAGTGATGAATTTGTCAAAATTAACAAGTCAGAAAAAAGCCATCTAGTGTTCATGTCTGATTATGGCCTTTGTAAAGTTTACCAGGGACTATAATATTTCAGAATACTGCCTCTATTTAGCATGTTACTGTATCCAGGCGAGACTCATATCAGAGTTTGCCAAGTTAAAAGAATATCTATATTTTTATAGAATATTAAAAAATATTATCAGAATTGTAATTGTGCCAGCATTTGTCATGAGGACATGAGGCAAATTAGCCTTAGTGAATTAATTGTATTCCAGGCCCAGGTCCTCACCATGACACTAGGAGGTGATTCTTTTGTTTTATTTTTAATATATTTTATTGATTTTTCACAGAGAGGAAGGGAGAAGGATAGAGAGTTAGAAACATCGATGAGAGAGAGACATCGATCAGCTGCCTCCTGTACACTCCCCACTGGATATGTGCCCGCAACCAAGGCACATGCCCTTGGCCAGAATCGAACCTGGGACCCTTGAGTCCACAGGCTGACTCTCTATCCACTGAGCCAAACCGGTCAGGGCTAGGAGGTGATTCTTACTTTCTCATTTTACTGATAAGAAAACTGAGCCTCCATAATGATTAAGAACATGTCCCTATCACACAAAGGGCAAGAGGCAGAGGTTTGGTAAGACTCCAGAGCCTGTGTTTTGTTTTGTTTTCACATGACCACACTGCTCCTCTGTGTCAGGCACAGAGGAAATATAGTTGAGTATGCTCTAACTCAGTGGTCGGCAAACTGGCTCGCGAGCCACATGCGGCTCTTTGGCCCCTTGAGTATGACTCTTCCACAAAAGAGTCATACTTCTGCGCATGGGCCACAAAGTCTCGATAGCACTGTTACGTGCATGCCTGCACGTAGTATTTTGTGGAAGAGCCACACTCAAGGGGCCAAAGAGCCACATGTGGCTCACAAGCCACAGTTTGCCGACCACTGCTCTAACTTAATTCAGTACCTAGGTTTACTAGTATCTTATTTATATGGTATAAATAGTTCAGTTTTATAACAAATAATTTATGTGCTTTCTTTGGCAGAAATTATTTTCCTATGTCATCTCTAGACCATTCTATGTCTAGGCATTTCTAATTTATCTCCTAGAGTAATTACAAAGGCTGTATTTATGGAGAAAAGAACTGGGTTCCTTTGAAAGCATTTTCTTTTGAATTCCATTTATTCAGCTGAAATGAAACATGCTTATCAGAATGATCCTCTAACATTGGTGGGAGTCTGATAAACTTTCCAGGAGTGGTTTTTGTGGGGTTGATAGAGATGTATTTATCCTGCTATAGTAGTTCTTGTTAAACCAACAATATTGTTCTAATGTCGGTCTATACAAATGAAATTATTATAGACAGTATCTTCCTCCAAGTTAAGGTCTTATCTTTGAGCTCAAATTTCTTCTTTTTCATTGTTTTGCTTTGCATTTTGCATAAGTTCTCCTTGACCTTCCAAACACTTAATTTGGTTCTCCTTAGTGATCAATCTTTCCAGATTACCTCAAGACTTTAAATTCAGTAATCACATTTTGTGCTCTGTTTGTAAGTTTTTGTAGAGTTTCTTAGTGCTGTAGTTTTAATTCCATGAAAGCTGTCATAACAATCTTTCTTTTAACGGTCAATGAATGTTGTCATTACTTGTTTCCTATCATCAGTTCGCTTTGCTCTAGTTGAGATCATATGTTCTAAGACAGCCGTGGGCAAACTATGATCCGCGGGCAGGATCCTGCCCGTTTGAAATGAATAAAACTAAAAAAAAAAAAAAGACCATACCCTTTTTTTTTTTTAATTTTTTTTAATTTTATTTATTTTTTTTTATTACAAAGGGTATTACATATGTGTCCATTCCCCCCCCCCCCAAGCCCGTACCCTTTTATGTAATGATGTTTACTTTGAATTTATATTAGTTCCCACAAACACTCCATCCATGCTTTTGTTCCGGCCCTCCGGTCCAGTTTAAGAACCCATTGTGGCCCTCGAGTCAAAAAGATTGCCCACCCCTGTTCTAAGAGCTGAACTTGATTTCTTTTCTTCAGGTTTCTGAATCCCCTTACATGGAATATATTTTTCATTTTCCTACTTGTAGTTGTGTGTTCCCTGGGGCCTATATTGTCAGGCCGTTGGTACCTCTAGGTCAGAAGCTAAGCAGCTGGCAGGATGAGACATGGTAGCTTATTTTAAGGACCAATAGGGAACTATCTGGCGAAGTGCAAGCTTAAGGCATTTGGGGGAAGAGTGCTCTTTCCTCCTGAGCTTTTTTTATGTGGGCAACAGCCCTCTCCCAATGCCAGGTTCACAGGCCTTCTCTGGTCTGTTAGGATCAGCAGAATGGTATCCCTTTCCCACAAAAGGCCAGCGTGCTCATACCAAGTAGGCTAACAGAGAAGACTGCTCCATGCTGTCTTTCTTGGAGACTCAGGAGAGGGAATGGCCCAGGGGCTGCCTTCCAGGCTCAGGCACCATATTCTGTGCTTTATTTGTTTGCTTGTTTCAGAGAAGGAGTTAGTAAGGAAAGGGGTCTATGGCACAAGCTCAAGCCACTGCCTGCCCAAGTCCCTCAAGGCCTGAACTTAAGTATTTTATCATCAAAACAATATAGGAAGAACTCTGTTATTTCGTAACGTTCTAATGTGAACTTTTGGACTTAACTGTCTTTCCCACAAAAATTATTCAAAGCATTATCTAATGACTGTTGTAAGACGTAAATAATAAGTGTCCTTTAACATTCATAAAATTTATGATTTCATAATTATACTTTAAAAAGGCAAAAAAAGCCCTGGTCAGTGTGGTTCAGTGGTTAGAGCATCGGTCAGCACACCAAAGGGCTTCCAGGTCAAGGGCACTATCTGGTTGCAGATTCAATCCACAGCCCAAGTTGGGGCTCGTGTGGGAGGCAACCAATCAATGTTTCTCTCTCTCTCTCTCTCTCTCCCCTTCCCTCTCTCCCTTCACTCTCTCTAAAAATTAATGGAAAAATTCTTGAATGAGGATTAGCAACAACTAAAAGCAAAAACAAATGAAAACTTAACAATATTAGGCCCAACTCTAGACTCTGACATTTAAAAATATTAAGTATTTATTCTGCCTCTTCTATCAAACTATATTTCAGAGTAATTAGCTCTAGTTGATGAAGTTACTCTCTACAGAAGAATTCGGCTCATTTTTAACTTCTAATAAAATAAATTGATTTAGCAACCATCAGTGGGTGAAACCATTAGTGAAAAGATTGACAGGGAACTTTACAGTGGTGGGATCAAGTTACTACCATTTAAATACAGTGACCATTGCCTCTTGAGATGCCACCATATAAATGCATACTTAAGTATGTAAGGGTAAAATAGTTGGTATTTGTGATAAATGTTTCAGGAAAAAGGGTGCACGAAGATGAAGTAAAAATGGTAAAGAAATGATTGTTAAATCTGAGTGATCGGTATATGGAGGTTCATTATACTGTAATCTCATGAATTTTTATTTTTAAAAGTTTTAAACTAAAATTGGTGTTTTGGAAATGATAAATCAATGTTTCTCTCTCTTAGTTTCTCTTGTTTTACAGCCAGCATTGTTTCATGTTATGAAGTTGTTATCCCCATACTTGTGAGAATTTATAACCTATAAAGTTACAGAATTAATGCCATGTCCTTTGACAGATCTTTCTCTAGACCATTCTGACCTGGTTGCGGAGTTGTTGAAGGAGCTGTCGAACCATAATGAACGTGTAGAAGAGAGAAAAATTGCCCTCTATGAACTTATGAAACTAACCCAGGAAGAATCTTTTAGTGTTTGGGATGAACACTTCAAAACAATATTACTTTTACTACTTGAAACCCTTGGGGATAAAGAGGTAAATGGCATAATCCTATATAATAAAAGGCTAATATGAAAATCGACCTAATGGCAGAATGACTGATCGCTATGACGTGCACTGACCACCAGGGGGCAGACACTCAACACAGGGGCTGCCCACAGTGGTCAATGTGCTCCCACAGGGAGAGCGCTGCTCAGCCAGAAGCCAGGCTCACAGCTGGCTAGCGCAGCGGCAATGGTGGGAGCCTCTCCTGCCTCTGCAGCAGCACTAAGGATGTCTGACTGCGAGAGGACACAGGCCAGGCTGAGGCACCCTCCCCCTCCTCCCAGTGCATGGATTTCATGCACCGGGCGTCTAGTATGTAAATAATCGCCTGTTTTTTCTGTCTTGGGTTGCATGTCACTGCCAATTAACCAAGCACTACACAGATTTGGAAATTGGGAAAATGGGTCTCTTCTTCTGCTGCTTTCTGCATGGAGTTTTCACTGTAAAGTACTTCTTCTTGTAAACCAGGTAGCCCAGCGATTTTGAATAATTGACAATGGCAAAAATGAGAGGTTGCTAACAGGTCTTTACAGGAGAGTACAGGTTACTTGTTTTGTCCACTTAAATTGGTTCAGAAGTAAAAGTTCCTTTTTAATCGTATTTAGTTGGTTCTCAATTTTTTTAAGATGTGTGATATGTTTTCAACTAAAGATGTGAAAACTTAATTATGCAATATTCCACATACTTTATGTAGTTGTCTATGATCCCCCGACCCTCACCTCAGTATTAAGATCCTTATACTTTAGACATGGGAAATGTAAAAGATTATCTACAACCCGAAATATTAAAAACATTAAAATGTTTCTTCTTAGCCTACAATCAGGGCTTTGGCATTAAAGGTTTTAAAAGAAATCCTAAGGCATCAACCAGCAAGATTTAAAAACTATGCAGAACTGACTGTCATGAAAACATTAGAAGCACATAAAGATCCTCATAAGGAGGTAAGTTACCTGACACTTAAATTATTATTATTTTATGCCTAGTACTTCTGATATTACAGCAGTCGCCCCTTTTCCTCAGGAGTTATGTATCAAGACCCCCAGTCGATGACTGAATCTAAAGGTGGTACCAAACCCTATATTTACTATGTTTTTTTCCTGCACATAAATGCCCATGATAAAGTTTAACTTATAAATTAGAGTAAGTGGTTAACAGCAATAACTAATAATAAACTAGAACATTTATAGCAATATAATGTAATGAAAGTTATGTGCATGTGGTCTTTCTCACAATATCCTACTAATAGCACTCTACTCACCTTTTCTCTAAAAGGAAGCTCTTTACAGCTTCTCTTTGGCACATCTGAACTGCCAGCATCACAACTCTTGCGCTTTGGGCCACTATTAAGTCAAAGAAGGGCGACTTGGAATACAAGCACTGATACTGTGACAATGGATATGATAACTGAGCTGGCTACTAAGTGACTAACAGGTGGTAGTGTATATAATGTAGGCTATGGTGGACACAGGGATGATTCACGTCCTGTACAGGACGGAGTGGGATGATGCAAGATTTCATGATGCTACTCAGAAGAGCATGCTGTTTAAAATGTATGCTTTCTTACTGGAACTTTGCATTTAATATTTTTATACCGTGGTTGAGTGCAGATAACTGAGCCCCCAGAAAACTGGGGGACTACTATATTGCGTAAAACATAAATGTTGCTTAAAATGTACCCTTATCCATCATTTCCTTAATGAACACTCATCTTGATTTTTTAAGGTAATATCTAATTGAGATACAAGCATATATTCCTTCCTATTAAGTACATTATTGTGATATCATGGCTAGCTCTAGGAAATAATTTATTTTACTTCATTTTCTCCTTCATTTCACTTTTCGTTTTTTTTTTGTTTTTAAATATATTTTATTGATTTTTTTACAGAGAGGAAGGGAGCGGAACAGACAGTTAGAAACATCGATGAGAGAGAAACATCGATCAGCTGCCTCCTGCACACCCCCCACCGGGGATGTGCCTGCAACCAAGGTACATGCCCTTGACCGGAATCGAACCCGGGACCCTTGAGTCCGCAAGCCGACGCTCTATCCACTGAGCCAAACCGGTGCTGGCTCACTTTTCGTTTTTTACTTAGAGTTCACCAATGTTATCTTCACATTCCACTTATCAATAAAAATTTAGTTGTTTTTTTAAGTAATTAAGATAAGAATCGTTACTATTTTAAAGTGGTAAATTGCCTGTATGAGCTGGATATCTGTTAAACGTTTATTAAATAGCTCAGCTGGTGTGACTCAGCAGTTGAGCATCAACCCATGAGCCAGGAGGTTACAGATTGATTCCCAGTTAGGGCACATGCCCAGATCGTGAGCTCGATTCCCAGTAGGGGGTGTGCAGGAGGCAGTCGATCAATGATTCTCTCTCATCATTGATGTTTCTATCTCTCCCTCTCCCTTCCTCTCTGTGAAATCAATAAAAATATTTTTTTAAGTTTATTAAATAAAATAATGAGGACAGCTTGCCTGGAAGAGTCTAATATTGCCACAGCCACCAGTGATGTTGATAAGACAATCATGAGGATTTTTATAAAATCTCAGAAGTAATTAGAAAAGGAAATTTCAAATAGGAACTGCAGTTCTGAGAGAAAGCACCAGAGCAATAGCATTAGGTGTCTGGTAAAACAGACATGAGCAAAAGTCAAAAAGGAAAGTTAAAATAGCAGTGAGACAAAATAGATCAATACTTAATGTAAAAGCTAAAACTTTAAAAATCTCATAAGAAAACAAGTGTAAATCTTCGTTACCTTGGATTAGGCAGTAGTTAGAATGCCAGAAGTAGAAGTAGCCTACAACAACTACTAGAAAGAAGATAAATGGACTACATCAAAATTAAAAACTTTTGTGCTTCAAAAGACGTTATAAAGAAAGTGAAAAGGCAATCCACAGAATAGGAGGAAAATGTTATAAATGATGTGTCCGATAAGGGACTAACAACCAGAATATATAAAGAACTTTTACAAACCAACAACAAAGAGACAACACAATTAAAAAATGGGTGAAAGATCTGGATTGACTTTTCTGCAAATAAGTTATACAAATGGCCAATGAGCACACAAAAAGATGCTCAACATCATTAGTCTTAGGAAAATGCAAGTAAAACCCACAGTGAGATACCACTTAACACAGACCAGGAAAAAAGGCACTGAGAAGTGTTGGTGAGGATACAAAGAAACTGAAAGCTTCTGTAACCCCCTTTCCAAAAGATCTGACTGAACCTTAGAGGAGAGTGAATCATAACTTTTAAATCTGCCTGGATTTTTATTCAGATTTTTTTATTCAGCTGTTGTTTAACATCTTGCTTAATGTCTAAAAAACTAATAGTTTAGTTCCCCACCTTCTGACCCAAATAATGCCTGTAATATCCCTATTTTTACAAAAGATAAAGTTGACATTCTTAAGGTGCTATAGCTGAATTAGCCCTGGGTCTTCTGACTTCCAGTGTATTTTTCCCTGTGCCTTTCTGAGCACCTCTCACGGATTGAGGTCATAAGGAAGACACTACCAAAGTAGCATGAAAAGCAATAATTTTTACATGTTTTCAAGACCGTCACTAGAGATTACAGATTCTAATAAGATTGACAACTGTTTCTTCTCTTTATTGAAAAAGCAGTATCATACCTTCCCCAAGCCCAATACAGAAGGAAAGAAAATCATTATGAACAGAAGGAGGAATAGCATGTTACTTGATAACGTATTGAATGTTTTATGTTGTAATTATGTGGTAAAAGGGGACATAGCACTCCTGGAGTTGAGGACACTAATAATGAGCAGCATCTCAGTGTGGCTGATGCAAAAGACTCCACATTGTAGTCTAGGTAAATAGAGCGTTCACTTCCCTGCACAACTAGACCACAGTATGGTTTTAAAATCACTTTTCCCAACATTAAAAGAACACCAAAGAAGGAAAAATGGTTTAATAAAGACCGATGAATTCATTTCCTAACTTCAACAGTTACATTTTGCCAACCCTGTTTTAGCAATACTATTACTTTTTGTTTGTTTAATATTTTCAAAGCAAATTCCAGTTGTTATGTCCTATTACCTATATCATGAAGTTTGTACTTCCAGGACACAGTATAGAAAATATATTTTTATTACTTCCCTACTCAATTTCCTTTGTTTTAGGTGGTGAGATCAGCTGAGGAAGCTGCATCCGTGTTGGCCACTTCAATCAGCCCAGAGCAGTGCATCAAAGTGCTTTGTCCTATCATCCAAACTGCAGATTACCCCATTAATCTTGCTGCAATCAAAATGCAAACAAAAGTGATAGAGAGAGTATCCAAGGAAACTCTTAATCTGCTTTTACCAGAAATTATGCCAGGCCTAATACAGGTAAGCAGTTAAGCTTGGAGGAATAAGCTACGATAGATTTGGGATTCTGTTATTCACTTTTCCAGGCAACACTAATGGCATGACCACGCTTGCCTATTTGCTCTGAACATCCAAGACTGTAGGCAGGTGTGGTGTGTGTGCACGTGTGTGTGTTAAAATATACATAATATAAAATTTACCATTTAGTCATTCTTAAGTGTGCAATTTCGTGGCATTAAATACATTCACAAGATTACACAACCATCACCACTATTCATTTTCAGAACTTTTGAATCATCCCAAATGGAAACTCTGTACCCATTAATCAATGATTCCCCATTCTTTCTCCTCTCAGTCCCAGGTAACCTCTATTCTACTTTCTATGTTCCTCATATAGTGTTGTCCTTTTGTGGCTGGCTCATTTTATTTAGCATAATGTTTATAGGGTTCATCTATGTTGTAGCATGTATTCCAATTTCTTTTTTTTTGACTGAATAATATTCCATTTATGTTTATACCACAATTTGTGGGGGGGAGGGTTGTCGGGGGGGTGGTTGTTAATCCTCACCTGAGGATATTTTTCCATTGATTTTTAAAGAGAGTGGAAGGGAAAGGGAGAGACAGAGAGAGAAACATCAATGTGAGAGAGACATATCAATTGGTTACCTCTGTGTGTGCCCTGACCAGGGATCAAGCCTGCAACTGAGGTACATGCCCTTGACCAGAATTGAACCCGGGACCCTTCAGTCCATGGGCTGACGCTCTATCCTCTAAGCCATGCTGGCTCGGGCTATACCACAGTTTGTTTACCCATTAATGTGTTGTTGGAAATGTGGGTGTTTCCCTTTTTTAATTAACTTAAATGTATATTACAGCAAAATTTCTTGTACTTACATGTATATATATCTAGAAATAGAATTCCTAGGTATTACCAGATTCCTCTCCAAAGTAGTTGTAGTAATTTACAGTCATAGATGTAATACTTTTTCTTTCTATGCACACAAACCCATTCATATAAACATTATGACAAATATGGACTTTATAACATGCTTTGCTTAACTTCATAGATTATGAGATTTCTGCCATCCAATAAATAATATTCTATTACGTGATTTTAATTCAGTAGTGTGTACCACTATATTAAGACCTCCTCCTGAAGAGAATTAATCATTTATTTCTTGGTGCATTATCTATGTGACTTTATTCTAAGCCCTAAAATTTTTAATTGTGAGATCCTTGAAGATCAGGTCCAAATATCTTTCTTCTTGGTCTATGCTTTGATACTAAGAATAGAATATATAACATGTATATGTCATATATATAATGAATACTGAATAAATGTTTGGATGAATAGTTGGAGCAGTGGTAGGGATGGGACAGATATTAAGCTTAACTCAGCCTGGATTATAGGAGTACCCTGACTGCCAGGCCAAGGAGATTTTATTTGCTAGTGAGGAGCTGTTGAGTTCCATAAAACAGAATGATTTAGGGAGGTTCGTCTGGAGACTTTTTGCAGGGTGGATTGGCAAAGAGGCAGCCTCAGAGTCAGAGAATTGCAGCTTTCCAGGGTAAATAAAGGACCTGATAAGGAAGGCTAACAGTGGAGGTGCCGCAGGGGAGATGGAAGGAGAGAGGGAATGTCTGCCTGAAAAGGTTGAAAAGTTCATCAGTCAGTAAAGCTTGAGATCTCATCTTTGAGTTGCGTCTTCTGTCTCTGTTGGATGGTGCTTTCTCAGATCCCCCAGGAGTGCTAACACGGACTTTTCTCCCTAGGGTTATGACAATTCAGAGAGCAGTGTTCGGAAAGCTTGTGTCTTCTGCCTGGTGGCTGTTCATGCGGTAATTGGGGATGAACTAAAACCACATCTCAGTCAGCTTACTGGCAGTAAAGTAAGTAGAGCTGCTTTGTTCTAAGGATGCTGACCATGGTACCTTCTTCAAAATTTATTTGTGTGTGTCTGTCTTGATACAAAATTTATTTTTGTATTCAGCTTCTAGTAAGTCATGCTTTGAGCATTCAACTTATTCCTCCTACCGTTTGCATTTTAACTGTTTCTACTTTCATATTTGCCACTCAGGGGAAGTCAGCAGTTTGGTAGGGTGACTGGTAGATTGCTATGAAAGAATGCCTACCAGATTCTGGTTATTTAAAATAGCCAGCTTCTTTGTCACTCCCACAACCAAATCCTTACCCTCAAAGACTGTTTAGTTAAAAATAGGCAGGGTTATACATTCATGGATTTTTTTATATCTCCTAAAATATGGACCACTTGAATATATTTAAATTTCCCCCTATGAACTATGGTAAATGTTTGTTCTTGTTCCATTCTTATTTTGATCCGGATAAGTGTACAACTTCGATTGGTATGTTGAAAAAATAAGTCTTGCTTTTCTCATTTCTTTGATACTACCAAAATTTTGAAATTATTTGTAGAGGGTGAGGATAGATTATGATTGTTGAACTGTGGCTTATAAACAAGTTAATAGGAGACACTTCAGTTAAAGAGTTTCCCCAAATCTGAATGATTGTCATTACTATGATCATATTTATTTTTAAAATAGCAAAAGGGCAGAAAAATACACATAAAGGAAAATGAGCTCAGGTATAAACCTTTCATAAGTTATACATAGATTAAGGCAGTGGTTTTTAAAACTTTCTGGGGTTAATCTCATCTCAAGAAAAATAAATACATACAGAAAATTTTATACCCAGTTTCAGAGGATGCAATGAGTCCCTGAATCCCATGGACACTGGGTTAAAAACCTTTGAATTAAAGAGTTAATATTAAAAAAGAAAACTTTCAGTAATAAAGTGGTTTTCAAAAAAAATGGATTCCAACTTTTGTTATGAGCTTAAATTAGGTCCTGATAATTCAGAGTTGTCTATAGAAGAATTAAAATTAAGCACCTTATCGGGATATTAGGCAGCCAGTAATAATGTTGCACACGAAGACAATAGGTAGGTGGGGGAGAAATATTTGGAAATGACATTCGATGAAAAAAAATGTATATGCTCTGATTACAAACTTTAGAAAAATATGGTCTCATACCATAAAGACTGCAAAATGAGAAATCAAAAAACATTTTTAATTGAATTTATTGGGGTGACATTGGCCAATAAAATCATACAAGTTTCAGGCATACAACCCCCACAACACATTATTCATACATTGCACTGTGTGCTCACCACCCCACCTCAAAAACATTTTTATTAGGAGGACGGTGGCATAATTATCTAAGATCTTGGGTCCTGGAACCCAAGTGCCTAATTTTATATCCTGGCCCACTTCTTTCTTAGCTCTGAGACCTTAGGCAGTGAGTGACTCACACATTCTGTTTTGAAGATAAAAAGTGATAATATAAGGCAGTTAGTATATTGTATAGAAAATAGTACTTAAATGTTTGTCATTGTTTTAATGGTAACTTCTTTTTCTAAATTTACTTGAAGTTTTATGTTACCACTACAATAGTTTATATACATTTCAGAGATGAAAGGAGAGGGAGAGATAGAAACATCAATGATTAGAGAGAATCATTGATCAACTGCCTCCTGCATGCCCCACACTGGGGATCTAGCCCGCAACCCGGGCATGTGCCCTGACCAGGAATCGAACCTGGGACCCTTCAGTCCACAAGCTGACACCCTATCCACTGAGCCAAACCAGCTAGGGCTATAATAGTTTTTGAAAGGACATGCTAGATTACTCAATCGTGAACAAATTAGAAAAATTTTTTATAATTTCTAATTGTCAACAATAACTGGGCATTGTAATAACCTCTCTATTCAAAATTTATCTTTTAAAGCTCACATTGCTATACTAATAAAAGCATAATATGCTAATTAGACTGGACAGCCAAACGATCTTCCAGACCTCCTTCCAGATGACTCCATGGCGGCGGGGGCCGAGGCAGAGGTGGTTAAGGGCGATCAGGCAGCCAGGAGAGCAGTTAGGGGTGATCAGGCAACAAGGCAAGCTGTTAGGGGCAATCAGGCAGGCAGAGGTGGTTAGGCACAATCAGGCCAGTGGTCGTCAAACTGCAGCTCGCGAGCCACATGCAGCTCTTTGGCCCCTTGAGTGTGGCTCTTCCACAAAATACCACGTGTGGGCACGCATGTACAGTGCGATTGAAACTTCGTGGCCCATGCGCAGAAGTCAGTATTTTGTGGAAGAGCCACCCTCAAGGGGCCAGAGAGCCGCATGTGGCTCACAAGCTGCAGTTTGCCAACCACTGAGGTAGGCAGGCAAGCAGTTAGGGGCAATCAGGCAGGCAGGCAGAGTGGTTATAGGCAGTCAGGTAGGCAGGCGAGCAGTTAGGGGTTATCAGGCAGGCAGACAGAGTGGTTAGGGGCGATCAAGCAAGCAAGCAGTTAGGAGCCAGCAGTCCCAGATTTACAAGAGGGTGCAGGCCAAGCTGAGGGACGCGCGCGCGCGCGCACACACACACACACACACACACACACACACACACACACATACACGGTGCACAAATTTCGTGCACTGGGCCTCTAGTATGTATATAATTTTTTAATGAACATTATACTATAAACTAGGGCAGTTGCTCAAATGACATGTTTGCTTTCAATCTGCAGATGAAGCTACTGAATCTTTACATCAAACGTGCACAAACAGGCTCTGGAGGAGCTGATCCCACTACTGATGTCCCTGGGCAAAGTTAGTGAAGCCAGTGGAAGTGAACCAGGTCTCTCCAGGGAAGGACACAGGCCACCCTCATCAATGAAAGGAAATTTTCAAATGCATCTTTTGGAGCTTACCATTGTTTCCTAGTTTTAGTTTTCTGTTTTGTTTTGTATTTTCTGTAACAGAGGACTATCCTCAGTCTGCATGTAACTTTTATGATAGTTATCCCAAATCCAAGAAGAAGCAGTATTAACAACAGTTGATCAATATAAAGTAATTTTAAATCTAACTCATCATTTCACTGTTTGTACTTCTTTGTCTTCCCCATTAACCTTTGCCAGTGTTATGGTTGTATAAATTTTTTTTAATGCTGGTTAAACAGGAATGCTTAAAGCTTTAAAAGTTGGACAGTCTAAAACATTTTTTGCCTTTATTCAAATGCAGGATAATATTTTTTAATTGCTACCTTGAGTTTTGTTTCCTATCATGTCCTATGCTAGTAATATTGAAATGACGTGAAACACAGCAGGACTAATTTGAGCTACAGCTGGACTCTGTTGGTGTGATTGTGATACATGTCATTAGCTATAACTTCTTTGGGGTGGTCTGTAGTTTAAAACTAAGACCTCAAAGAGAAATGTTACAGAATCAGCCAGTTTTGTAAAACTGATATTGTTTGTTGGTTACTGATCTTGCCATCTTTATTTAAAACCATGTCCCCTCTATGATCCCTTAAGAAAGCTGCACCAAATCATCTGCCTGTTTTTTTTCTTAATACTTATTAAAATGGAAGGTTTCATTGCAGGGTTTTTGGTTTGTTTATCTTTATTGTGAATGATGCTTTTTTATATTTATTAATATCAAATTCACTTACGAATAAACTTGATAATGGAAACAGACAAAAATAATCAAGTGCATGTGTGTCCTTGACAGTCTTCTGTTTCTCATTTAATAAACAAACTAATTATTGAGACATGGGAGTCGACCAGCACCTTTTGTTTAAATGGTGGAACCTGGTTTCCTTTTACCATGAAATTGTCTTACTTGAAAACGTTGATCCTGATGAGAGAGAAGATGGTGCCAAGGCTATTACCTTGTATAATGGGCTCAAATTCTCTACCTCTTCAGGGCTAATACTTTTAATTGAGCTGCTGCCTATAGTGTCTTTTGGAAAACTAAAGGGTGATTTTTCTGTTACGTTTTTAAGTCACCTTTGGCTACATCTATTCTTTTCATGTGCAGCCAATTTGCAAAAATGACCAGTGTTGGCGAAAGGCAAAGTAGATCATTTGGAACCAGAATACTAATGATTGCTCATCTTGACTTTTTTTTAAATCCTAACAAAGTGAATTTGACTGGAAAGGCAAATAGCTATTAGGGAAGCAATTTGCTGTTGTTACAGAGTTATCTGAACTTACTTTGTTTAATTGAACAAAATGTAGAAATGTATGTAAAGAATTTAAGAGTACTGAATGGATGATTTGTCATCGGCTTTTACCTTAGTTTCTGTTCTCACAGCAGGAAGTCTCTCTATATCTCCTCCCCTTTCCCTGTAACAATTTTGTTTTCTACTGTTAATTACATTGTGTATTTATAGTTCTATGCTTACTGTTGTGCATATACTGGCAATAAAACTGTACATAACATTACTTGAAAAAATTAACAATATATATCAGTTGTTTTTCTGTCTCGCTGTGTGACATGCCACTTATCTCATAACTAGGTTTTTAAAAAGCTCATGTATCAATAAATTTTATAAGTGCATCTGAGCAGAAAAGATTTATCAGGAGTAGCAGCCACAATTAAGTATATATAGCTATGTATGCATGTATATATTATAGCTCTAAGATGAAAAGGTATTTTAAACATTGAATGCTTCTTAGTAATGTTTTATGTTCCATACCTTTGATATGTTTTATATAATCATTTTTTAATATATTTTTATTGATTTCAGAGAGGAAGGGAGAGAGAGAGATAGAAACATCAGTGATGAGAAAGAATCATTGATTGGCTGCCTCCTGCATGCCCCCCACAGGGGATCAAGCCCACAACCTAGTCATGTGCCCTTGACTGGAATTGAACCTGGGACCCTTCAGTCCACAGTCCGACACTCTATCCACTGAGCCAAACCAGCTAGGGCCATTTTTAATCTAAATAGTGGTTTGATTTTGACCTGTTCTTTATGGTCTTGCTTTAACTATTGTTGACAATTAAATAGAGTGACTTAAACTGAATAATATCTCTACTTCGAAACATAGACCAAGCAGCAGGCATCTAAAGGCAGGCAACTCAGAAATGAGTGAACTGAGTAATAGAAAAGCAAAACAAAATTGACCAATAATCTCCTAGTGCAAAAAAAAAAAAAATCTATGAGGAAATTCTTCATGTAGCCAAGGTAGCCCCATAATGTGGCTTGGCCAAAAGGAAGAACTGAAAAGGAAAAATACCCCACATTCAAGACAGGCAACACCATATTACTGAATATTTCTGGAACATCGTCCATAATTCATTTTAGGGAAGTGGCCCTAGGACAAGCATGTCAAACTCAAAGGCTAACACAGGCCAAATAAACAAGGTTTAAGTTTATGTCGGCCGCAAAACAAAAGCTTCAATTTTCATAGAAACGTAGGTTTATTTCGATAGAGGCATGCTGAATACAAAGGGCTGAAATAAATGAGTAATCGTTAACATAATAGAACATTTTAATAAAAATATTTTTTCTTGAACATTAACTAACCAGACACTGCATAACTGCACAAATTAATAAGCGTAACACAAATAAACCTATTTTTCTTGTTCTCCGAAAGCAAAGTATTTCCTGTTGTGCACACCAAACAAGTTAGTCGAAGACTAATGACGTGGCAATCAGCTGCTAAAATATTCGCTGCTAGTATTAGTGGAGAGAAATGGTGGGCCTGCGCTGAAGGAGCAGAAGGAAATGAATGCAACACGATTATAGTGATCAGTCATTAGCGAACGTTGTAGTTTCTATGTTTCATACCAGTGCCCAGCCACACAGTCTGGGACACTTAAGTACTGAGATTCTGTTAAGTCTCTTTCCAAAAATGTAGTCCTACTTCAATGAGATGTGTGGAAAACCCCCCCCAGTGCCCAGCCACACAGTCTGGGACACTTAAGAGATTCTGTAAGTCTCTTTCCAAAAATGTAGTTCTAGTTCAATGATATGTGTGGAAACCCCCCTCCCCACACACACACACACACACACACAATGTGACTCCTTGTGAACCCTAAGTGGGATATAATCCTATCATGGCTTGAAGATCTAATTGTCCATGAGCTGAGTCTTCCATGGATTACCCGAGAAGTTGTAGTTTGCACACTGCTTTTCCAGAAATGCAGTCTCTCTTGTAGGCCCTTTTAAAAAATCACTCCTTGTGAACCCTAAGTGGGATATAATCCTATCATGGCTTGAAGATCTAATTGTCCATGAGCTGAGTCTTCCATGGATTACCCCAGAAGCTGTAGTTTGCACACTGCTTTTCCAGAAACGCAGTCTCTCTTGTAGGCCCCTTTTAAAAAATCCTCTGTTGTTTAAAGTATTACATATAGTATTACATATGTCTCCTCTTTCCCCTGTTGACCTCTCCTCAGCCACCCCCCGTTGACCCATTTTTTAAAGTGAAGTTTACCAAGAAAAGAGTTGAGGGGTACTTAATCTAATACTGCAAATTAGACCTGTTGTTTCTCAATATTTATCAACCATGCTCTGCCAAATATTTGTCTAAATGGCATTTACTTGCTGCTCACCAGTTTTAACCTGCATGACTTCATACCAGTTATGAAATAACATAGAGCCCAGCCAGTGTGGCTCAGTGGTTGAGTGTCAGTGTCTGAACATGAACCAGGACAGGAGGTCATGGTTCCATTCCCAGTCAGGGCACATGCCAGGTTGTGGGCTTTATGCCCATGCCTGAAAAATGCTTCTGTGTTTAGTGTGTTACAAAGCCTGAGGCAAAGGAATACTATTGTGACTTTATAAGTTAAAGATTCCTATTAGACAATATTCAGTACTCCCAAATAAAAGTATCTTTACAAAAATGACTATACAGATATAAATAACACCTTATATCAAAAATTCAGAATATATGTGGATGTAAAACAGAAAGATATGAAATAGAGTTGACAGGACATAGATGGAAAATTCAAGAAAAATCCCAAAGATACTCAGAAAAGAAGATTAAATTAAAATATCCAAGATAAAACAATTTTTACAGAAAAATATAATGAGATATTCAGGAAATAAAACATTCAAGAAAATGAATTGAAATAAGGACAGCGGTAAAAGTAATCACCAAAAAAAGTTACTGGTAGAAAATAAGCAAAAGTGATTCATCATCCACACAGTTGGAGTTTCTTTAAAAAAAAATATATTAAAAGGGAATAAATATTTAAAATCCAAAAATACCCTCCAGAAAGAAAAGATCTGAATCAACATAATCAAAAGGCACACCTGGAAAAATTATTCTGAAATAATTATTAGATGTATCCTAGGACAGTGGTCGGCAAACTCGTTAGTCAACAGAGCCAAATATCAACAGTACTTCTTCAAAATAGACTTGCCCAGGCCGAAAACCGACTTCTGCGCAAGGGCCACGAAGTTTCAATCGCATTGTACCGCACGTGGTATTTTGTGGAAGAGCCACACTCAAGGGGCCAAAGAGCCGCGGTTTGCCGACCACTGGGATAGGCTATAAACTTTGAAGTCAGGGAGCTTGGGCTGACATCCTGGTGACCTCAGCTACTTTATTTGGACAGAATTTCTCTGGAAGTTTTAAAGCATGACTTCCAAATTATTTCACTCTACTCCCATCAACCTGATTATGGGGCTGCTTGACTAATAAAATACGCTACAGAATAAAGATTCTGCAATAGTTTCTGGTCCTGGGTCTTCAGTTAAAAAAATTCCAATATAGAGGCATCATACAAAATATTTGACCAGTATTCCTCAAAACTGTCAAGGTCATCAAATGTAAAACATTTGTAGCCAGAGGGTGGATTCTGGAAGTTTTAAAGCATGACTTCCAAATTATTTCACTCTACTCCCATCAACCTGATTATGGGGCTGCTTGACTAATAAAATACGCTACAGAATAAAGATTCTGCAATAGTTTCTGGTCCTGGGTCTTCAGTGTTAAAAAAAAATATATTCTACACTTGTTAAAGATGGCTAGGCAGACTTTATTCAGGAGCATCACAATAGGTATAGGGACCACTGCAGTGTGATGTGGCAGTGGGAGAGACTGGGCTCAACTCCATATGAATAAATGGGCATTTAGAGCCAAGGTGCAGGTTGAGAGGCAGTGGATGGAAAAGTACTAAGAGAAGACATCAAGTTAGTAAGGGGAGTTCTAAATAAACCCACCTTACAGGATTTTTGTTGTAGGAATTCCAGCAGCCCCATCTGAGATCCCAGACAACAACCAGGATCGAGCTATAAACATGTATTGTTGACGGATGGTAAATGAATCAGGAGGCTTTCGCTAAAAATAATTATTTATTCAAGGGTCTTAGGGTTTGCAAACTAGACACACAAGTATTATCCAGGATGTTCTGAAGAAGAAAGAAAAGCTTCTTATAGTTAAAAGTACATTCTTGAGAAGAATCAGCCCTGCATTCTTAGCCTCTGGACTGGTCCAAGATTGTAATCCTCAGGTGTTTTGGACAATGGATGTCAGGCAGTATGGATAATAGATGTCAGGTGCTATGGATACATGAATACTCTTTCCTTAGTCCTCTAGGAGGTCTGGATACTCTTTCCTTAGTCTTCCAGAGGGTAATCAGATGGTTATCTGAGGTTTGATGTATATGCAGGCATTGAGGCAGGACTGTAAAAGTCGAAAGTTTAAGTTCCCAGGCTAGTTAAAACAAGAATAGAATCTTGTCCCCATTTCTCTGTTGTAAGTGGCTGGAACAGCAGTGGGGGTTAGACAACCTACAGGGACAGACCAGACCTGGGCTCAGCAACCTCGGTACTTGAGTTCTGGCTAGGAAAGAATTCAGAGCCAAGACTCCAACTATAAGAGAACATTTATTTGGTAAATCACAGAAGGTAGAAAAAGTAATTACTGGAAGAAATGGGATTAGGAAACAAGTTATAGAAGTAAAAGAAGTGCCCTTTGAGTTTGTGACTGAGGAAGCTAAAGGTGACACGTCTGGGGAATGGGAAGTGGGAAGAAGAAGGGGAAAGGGCTAAGGCAGTGGTTCTCAACCTTCTGGCCCTTTAAATACAGTTCCTCACGTTATGAGCCAACCATAAAATTATTTTCGTTGCTACTTCATAACTGTAATGTTGCTACTGTTATGAATCGTAATGTAAATATCTGATATGCAGGATGGTCTTAGGCGACCCCTGTGAAAGGGTCTTAGACCATCAAAGGGATCCTGACCCAGAGGTTGAGAACCGCTGGGTTAAGGGAAAGGCGTGGGCATGCTCCAGGGAGGGAGAGCATGCTGGGTCCTTTGTCCTAAGGGTTTTAAGGGTGGAGACTTTGGGGTAGGCCCCCAGGGAAGATTTCAATAGAGTGTTTAGCAGTTTTCCAGGTGTGTCCTTTCAGGTTCTGGCATCAGAGCAGGGGGTCATTTTTCAATGCACCTGGTCCTGAGGGCAACTTTGGTGTGGCTTACCTGGTTTTGTTGCTTTCCTGGGCCTGGAGCTGAAATACAACTGAGGCCTAGATGTTATCTCTAGGGAGTCCAAACCACAGGACCACCCATATGCTGGGGGGAGAGGTCACCCTGGGGGCAAGGTCCCACCCTACAATTGTCCATTGCTAGGCTCCAAGGACTTTCCGCCATGGTGACCTTCTACACCTGGCCCATGGTCCTTGTTCTACTCATGTCTAACTGCCTACCACACCTCAACCTACTTAATTTTAATTTGGCAGAAATGACTATGCCGACACCATTTTATTTCTTCTGTGTTCCTCAGTACAGAACCTGGAGGCGACTTTAGCCCCAGTCATATAACTGCACCCTGAATTAGAAGCTCCCAGCTAAGCCCCGTGAATCCGAGTACCATAAATGCAAGGCAAGAAGTAACACGATTGCCAGCTGTTACTGCTATGGTTGAGCTCCAGCTCGCCATACTGTTCCCAGGAATCAGCAGTTGTGGGAACGCGTTCCAGAACCCTTTATTGGGACCATTGATTGGCTTATACCCATGTCAATCAAGGTCTTTCTGCCCAATGGGCCTTTCAGTCCACAACATGGTGCGAGCCTATTGGCTAAGACTCCCACCCGCTTTCTCCTCTGTAGTGCGAGCAAAATCCAAAGACAACCCAAAAGACCATAGAGAAGCAAAGCACCACAGGAAGTGGGATCTAGTGCAGCTCAATGAACTCCTAGTTTTGGCAGCAAATTCTGTCCTGGAACCCGCCCAAAAGGAAGAACATTCTGATTGGTGGCTTAGTACAGGGTCACAGAGACTCACGGGAGTTTCGGCCAAGCCCCTGCCTTTATTGTCCAGTTCGCCTGTCAATCAATTAGCTTCGGATGGACGAAAGCAGACAGCCCTTTTGGCACCGCCTCTTCCTGGGCCGGTGTGAAAGGGCAGCGAGGCCGCCTGGGCCGGGAACTGGCCGTGTGGGCGGGGTCGTGCCTCCCTGCAGGGAGGGTGCCTC